ACCGCACACGCCGAGTGACCGTTTCGGATTTTCATTTTGGGTAAGTGATTTTATGGCTACTTCTTCCGAAAGCTCTTCGGCTAGTGGGACTCAGTCGTCATCATCCGAGGGGTCTTCGTCTAGGGCTTCGGGGCAATTACGAATGGAGATACCTTCGCCGAATGAGGAAAGAAGGTCCAGCGAAAGTGTGAGTACATCCGAAGAGACTTCAACTAGTGGGAGTGAAGAGGTGCTGATTAGGGCTAAACGTGTCTCAAATTGGCAAAAATATGGGCCATCGGAAGTACCGGAATACGAGTAGGTTAATGGCGAGGTAACCTCATATTACTCCCGCTACCGAGATACCACTATGATAATAAATTTGTTGGAGTATACCAAATGTTTGGATTTCGACGCTAAAGAGGAGCCATACCCGATCGGGGTTCGCGCTTGCCGAAACGATGCCTTTCCTAATCCCGACATGGTGTGCTTAGACAAATAGGCCGATAGGCTGGCATCCTTCTACATGTACGACTTCCTTTTGCGAGATCTAAAGGTGAGATTGTCGTTTGATGAGTTTACGATGGGAGTGCTTAGGGTTTTGAATGTGGCGCCGACCCAACTTCACCCGAATAGCTGGGCTCAACTTCAGGGTTTCAAACACCTGTGCTGATGCGTGAACATTAGGCCTTCCCCTCTACTTTTTCTCTATTTCTACTCGTCTCAGCCTTTGGATCTGGCAAAATGGGTGTCTCTGAATCGAGTGGGGACTCAGCAGCTTTTGGACAGCTTTACTTCTTCGTACAAGAACTTTAAAGCTGGATTTTTTCGAATAACCCTTCGTCCGAACGGGCGTCGTTTCTTCTTCGGGACTGATGATAGGAGCTTGTTTCCGTTGTATTGGACGTGTGCCCCTCGGCCATACGATGAAGTGCCGGACGAGCTTCTGACAGCCGAAAAGCTACGAGATATACAATTTTTGCTTCAATTACCTCGGCGCTTGCCGACGAGGTCACTGATTAACATAGTTTTATCTCCCCAATTGGAGAACGATTTGATAGGTACGTGACTTTCCTATTTCAGCCTTAAGCTAAATTCATATTGATGTTCACTTGACTATTTGTGCAGGAATCATGGTGGCGAGTGGAGCCGATGAATTCAACATTCGCAACCTTTTGGCCAGCCGAGTGCAACAGGCTAAGGCTTCTGGGGCTGTGGGTAGTTCGACTGTTGCTCAGTCTCTTCAGCCAGTGCAGGATAACCGAAACCCTCCTTCCCCGAACCGCAACCAACGAAAAGGGAAGAAAGGAAAAGAGGTTGCTCAAGAGGGGCCGAAACGAAAAAACAACGAGGAGAAGCCGGAAAAGCCGAAGAAATCAAAACACACTGCGTCTTCTCCAAGCAGGACAGTGATTTGTGTGCCCCCCATGCTGATGTCGAGGGCCTTTTTCAGTGGGGATGTTTCTGCCGAGTCGCTAGTTCGGCTTGACACTATCTCGAAACATGGTCGCGTGTTTTTGGGCGGGTTGGATACTGTGTCCAAATGGAAGTACTTTTGCGAGGTGCAGTCTCGGTCATTGGCACTTCCGCACCATCTTGCCATGGAACCAATCGGCGAGTTGGTGCACTTGAGACAAAGAGTCGAGGAGGCCGATAAGGCGACGGCCGAGGCAATGGCAACGGCCGAGGAAGCTTTGGCGAAGAATCGACAACTTGCGGCCGAGTTGGATGTGCAGCGGCGTAACAATGATACGCTTCGGTTGGATCTTCAGAAGGCATCAAACGAAGAGAAGCGCCGAGTTGAAGAGGTGAAGGCCGAGTTGGAGCGTGTTAAGGAACAGGCCAAAGATCGCATCGTCGCTCAGCATGAAGCTGGTTTTCGCCATGCTCTTCGTTAAGCGCGGCACTTCGGCTGCTTTAGGGAAGACTTCAAATTTGACATGACAAAAGACTTCTATCAAGGGTCTTTCATGTCATTCGGAGATATGCCCGAGGGGGCCATCCCTGACAGTAACGAGCCGAGCGAGAACCCCGAAGAGGAAGAGACTCTAGGTGGCTCGGATGGTGAGGCTGAGACCGAGCCGGAAGTGTCGAATCGCGATCCAGAGGCCAAGCCTGAAACACAAGATGACGCTGCCACCAATCCCCCTGAATGATTAAGTATTTCTTTTTGTATTAAAGGCCGATAAAACCTTCTTATTCTGTATGTTGGGCCGATAGAGCCTTTATTATCTTTGATCAATGAAAAGCAACTTTTGATGAAAAAAACTTTGACCGAATTGCATTTAATTATGTAAATTAACTAAGTTAGCGATCAACAGACGCATTTCGGTAAGGGCCGAGTAGGTTTATTTGGTTCGCTTGTGTTTTCGAGCAATGCCGAATTGGTCACTCGGATTGCTTGCTTTTTTGCGCAATGCCGAGTAGGTCGGATTAGGTTGCTCGGATTGCTTGCATTTTTGAGCCATGCCGATGTGGTCACTCGGATTGCTTGCATTTCTGAGAAATACCGAGTTGGTCACTCGGTTTTCTTGCCTTTTTTAGCAATGCCGAGTTGGTCACTCGAATTGCTTGCGTTTTTGAGCAATGCCGAGTTGGTCAGTCAGATTGCTTGCATTTCTGAGCAATGTCGAGTCAGTCACTCGGATTGCTTGCCTTTTTGAGCAATGCCGAGTTAGTCACTCGAATTGCTTGCATTTTTTTAGCAATGCCGAGTTGGTCACTCGGATTGCTTGCCTTTTTGAGCAACGCCGAGTTGGTCACTTGGATTGCTTGCCTTTTTGAGCAATACCGAGTTGGTCACTCGGATTGCTTGCATTTTTTAGCAATACCGAGTTGGTCACTCGGATTGCTTGCCTTTTTGAGCAATGCCGAGTTGGTCACTCGGATTGCTTGCATTTTTGAGCAATGCCGAGTTGGTCACTCGGATTGCTTGCATTTTTGAGCAATACCAAGTTGGTCACTCGGTTTGCTTGAATTTTTGAGCAATGTCGAGTTGGTCACTCGGATTGCTTGCCTTTTTGAGCAATGTCGAGTTGGTCACTCGGATTGCTTGCCTTTTTGAGCAATGTCGAGTTGGTCACTCGGATTGCTTGCCTTTTTGAGCAATGTCGAGTTGGTCACTCGGATTGCTTGCATTTTTGAGCAATGCCGAGTTGGTCACTTGGGTTGCTTGCATTTCTGAGCAATGTCGAGTTAGTCACTCGGATTACTTGCATTTCTGAGCAATGCCGAGTTGGTCACTCGGATTGCTTGCATTTTTTAGCAATGCCGAGTTGGTCACTCGGGTTGCTTGCATTTCTGAGCAATGTCGAGTTAGTCACTCGGATTTCTTGCATTTCTGAGCAATGCCGAGCTAGTCACTCGGATTGCTTGCATTTTTTAGCAATGCCGAGTTGGTCACTCGGATTGCTTGCATTTTTGAGCAATGTCGATTTGGTCACTCGAATTGCTTGCCTTTTTGAGCAATGCTGAATGGCCTCATTCGAAGTTGCTAGCTTTTTGGCCGACTGGGGTCACTCGGGAGGGAAGCCTGTTATGATTTTTTGAAGGCACATCCTTGGCCGAGTGGGGTCACTCGGGAGGGAAGCCTGTTTGTATGGACTCTTGAAGGCACATCCTTGGCTGAGTTGGGTTACTCGGGAGGGAAGCCTGTTGGTATGGATTCCGAAGGCACATCCTTGGCCGAGTGGGGGTCACTCGGGAGGGAAGCCTGTTTGTATAAATTCTGAAGGCACATCCTTGGCCGAGTGGGGTCACTCGGGAGAGAAGCCTATTGGTATGGATTCCGAAGGCACATCCTTAACCGAGTGGGGGTTACTCGGGAGGGAAGCTTGTTTGTTTAAATTCGGAAGGCACATCCTTGGCCGAGTGGGGTCACTCGGGAGGGAAGCCTGTTGGTATGGATTCCGAAGGCACATCCTTGGCCGAGTGGGGGTCACTCAGGAGGGAAGTCTATTTGTATAAATTCCGAAGGCACATCCTTGGCCGAGTGGGGTCACTCAGGAGGGAAGCCTGTTGGTATGGATTCCAAAGGCACATCCTTGGCCGAGTGGGGGTTACTCGGGAGGGAAGCCTGTTTAAATTCGGAAGGCACATCCTTGGCCGAGTGGGGTCACTCGGGAGGGAAGCCTGTTTGTATAAATTCTGAAGGCACATCCTTGGCCGAGTTGGGTCACTCGGGAGGGAAACCTGTTTTAATGAGTAAGGAATAAAAACTCAATATGAAAGAATTTTTCTTGATTGAGATGTGCCTCGTTAAAACCCTGATCGGCCAAAATCCCTTTTCACTTTTTTATAAGGGGAGAAAAGACCGACCGAGGAAAAGAGTGCATGTAAGTGTAAGTACAAAGTTTGTCATACAAAGTAAAGGACAAATTTATAGCAAACTTCTAACTATAGTATTTCTTCAAGTGAGTTGCGTTCCATGTTCTGGGGATGACTTTCCCCGAAAGGTCTTCTAATTTATATGCTCCATTGCAGAGGTTGTGTCGGATCCTGAATGGGCCGTCCCAGTTAGCTGCTAACTTTCCCTCTCTTGGGTTCTTTCTGGCCGACCCTTGTGCTCTTCATACCAAGTCCCCCTCTGAAAAGCTTCTCGGACTGAGATTTGAATTAAATCTTCGAGTCATTCTCTGCCGGCAAGCTTCGGCGACAATACATGCTTTATGGCGTACCCAGTCTACCATGTCGACTTCCGCCCTAAGCGACGCGTCATTGGATGCTTCGTCGAAATGCAATCGGCGAAAAGAGGGTTCCCCTACTTCGACCGGAATCATGGCGTCGGTGCCATACGTTAGTCGGAACGGGGTCTCGCCGGTTGTGGATTGGGGGGTACAACGGTAAGCCCATAGCACTTCCAATAATTCGTCTGCCCAAGCGCCCTTGGCGTCCCCTAATCGCTTTTTGAGCTCCGATAGGATGACTTTATTTGCGGCTTCGGCCTGCCCGTTGGCTTGTGGGTGTTCGACCGATGTGAATCCATGCTTGATTCCCAAATCTTGGATGAACTTATTAAGCTTCTAATCGGTAAACTGTAAGCCATTGTCCGTTACTATGGCTTGAGGAAAGCCGAAGTGCGTAATTACATTCTTCCACATGAATTTCTGAACGTTGTTTACCGTGATCGTAGCAAGTGGTTCAGCCTCGATCCACTTTGTGAAATAGTCGATTGCCACTAGCAAAAATTTGTCCTGACCTTTAGCGATGGGAAACGGTCCAAGTATGTCCATTCCCCACAACGCGAACGGCCACGACGAGCTGACACTGTGCAGTTGTTCTGCCGAAGCGTGAATCAGGTTACCATGCTTTTGACATTGAACACATCTTTTGACAAATTGAGCACAATCACCCTTGAGAGTCGGCCAGTAGTAACCGACACGGAGCACTTTAGCAGCTAAGGTTCTCCCACCCGAGTGTGACCCACAAATTCCTTCGTGGATTTCTCGCAAAACATAGTCGGCTTGTTCAAGCCCGATACATTTGAACAATGGAGTTGAAAAACCTCTCTTGTACAACTCTGTGCCGATGACCGAGAAATGTGCCGCCTGAGTTCGGAGTTTCCTAGCGGCCGAGTCCTCGGGTGGCTCCTTGCCGTGTAGAATGAACTCGAGTAATGTTGTTATCCAAGGTGTGTTGGTTCTAGAAGTTTCCGATTCAGAAACTGCCAGGCACTCGTTGGTTTCCATGCTGGGTTGTGGCAATTCCAAATGAAGAGTGGTTCGCAACTAACTTTGTTTATGACCGTTACTGGCCAACCGAGCGAGTTGATCGGCTCTTCCATTGTTTTCTCGTGGTGTGTACTTGACTTGAACTTCTTCGAATTGGTTGCACATATTGTGGAAACGGTGATAGCAACCCCTACCTCATGTGCCAGCCGCAGGCCGACCAATAATGCCTCATATTCGGCCTGATTGTTTGAGGCTTTGAAAGCGAAGTGTAGCGATTGTTCTAGTGTTACACCGGTAGGCCCTTCCAAGATTATTCCGGCGCCACTCCCTTGGTTGTTAGACGAGCCATCTACGTGCATTGTCCAGGTGCTACTTTGAAAATGCCCTTTTGGCTGCAATTCATTAGCAAAGTCGGCAAGACATTGTGACTTTATGGGGCCTCTGGGTTCAAACGAGATGTCGAATTTCGAAAGCTCGATGGACCATGCCATCATTCGACCTGCTAATTCTGGCTTACGTAACACCTTGGAAATCGGACAATCTGTGCGGACGATAACCTGATGCCCCTGGAAATATTGTCGAAGTCGTCGCGCTGTATGAACGAGGCCGAGGGCCACCTTTTCTAACAGCTGATATCTACCTTCGGATTCTTGAAGCGTTCGGCTAATGAAGTAGATAGGTTGTTGAGACTCACTCTCTTGCACTATCATGGAGCTAATCGTCTCGTGCGAGATGCACATGTATACAATCAACTTCAAAAGAGGATCGGGTTTTGTTGCAACCCAAAAATTTCCGATCTTGCGACTAATGGTTTAGACATCTTGTTAAAGATCTCTTCAATTAAGGAATGCCCGGACACCAGACTAATCCTTAATTAATGGTTTTGAAAAATGGTTCATGGAGTCGCCACCAATGTTTTACTCAAAACATTGGAAAAAGAAAAGGTTTTTAAAAATAATCCAATAATGGCCTTGATAACCAGAATTGGGTTCGGGGGTCGGTTACGTGTAAGGAAGGTATTAAGCACCCTTACAACGCCCTAAATCGGTACCCTTGATGAAGTTAGCATTATAAATGATAATAATAGAAATATTAATTACCCTTTTATTAATAATTATTTACATGCTTGAAATTTAAATTATACGATTGACCCTAAAATGTCTACATGATTATTTTTATTATAAATAATATTTATTAAAAATAAGAAATAAAAGAGAGAGAAGAAAATTAGCTGAAATACCTCTTGAACGAGCTCTATTGATCTTCAAAGATGGAGATTTGGGTGCTTTTTGGCAACCTTTCACACTACAATGCCTCACAAAAATCTCAAGAAATACAAAGAGAGGGGAGAGAGAAAAATAGAGAAATTTCGTGCTCTAGGGAGTCTGGACGAAATTTTCGAGTCCGGAGAAATGAGCCCCAGCCGCCTATTTATAGACTTCAGAATGGGGGTCCAGAACGGCCCGTTCCAAAATTGGAACGGCCATTCTGGATATGGCCGTTGTGCCTTAATTTGGACCCTGGAACGGCCCGTTCTAAAACCGGAAAGGCCCGTTCCGGGGAACCAGAACGGCCGTTCTGATTTCAGAACAGCCGTTCTGGGGTCCAAATTCAGCACACATGATTGGTCTGGAACGACCTTGGAACGGCCCGTTTTGGGCCCGTTCCAAATAAGCTTTTACCCCTTTTTGGAGGAGTTTGGAACGGCCTGTTCCAATCTTGGAACGGCCCGTTCCAACCTCGGAACAGCCCGTTCTGCTTATAGATGTGACGACAGGTCCAATTTCCATAGATCTCCTAAAAAAGCCGGTAGCTGATTATACTAGGGAGGATGGCTCTTGGAATTTGGAAGGGATTCACGACCTAATCCCCTCGAGCTGTTGGAACTCTCAGGTCTTGAGCTACTGCTTCTACCAAAACTTCCCCCGGAATAAATCTGGCTAACGAAGGGGGTGGTCTACCATATACTATCTCGAAAGGGGTGCTACGTGAAGCACTTTGGAAACTAGTATTATACCAATATTCTGCCCAAGGGATGAACTCTGCCCAAATTTTAGGTTGTTCAGAGCTGAAGCAACGAAGATAAGTTTCTAAGGTTCTGTTTAGCACCTCCGTTTGGCCATCGGATTCCGGATGATAAGCTATACTACTTCATCCTAAATTGTCAGCACGTTATTATGGTCCGTATTTGGTTTTGAAACAGATAGGTACAGTAGCCTTTCAGCTAAAGCTACCGGAGCAAGCAAGAATCCACCCAGTTTTCCATGTGTCTCAGCTTAAGAGGGCAGTGGGAAATCATACAGTAGAATCTGGGCTTCCCACAGAGTTTGAGGGAACAACCACAGGGTATCAACCAGAGCAAATTTTGGGCAGCCGTGTGATTACAAAATATGGGGATCAGAGTCAGCAGGTTTTGGTGAAATGGAAAGATAGGTCATCAGAGGAAGCTACATGGGAAGACGTCACTACTATCAACGGCCAATTTCCGGAGTTCAACCTTGAGGACAAGGTTGTTTTGGAGGGGGAAGGTATTGATAGGCTCGAGAATGAAACCCAAAAACAGACCCTACAAGTCTATTATAGGAGGAAGAATAAAAGAGTGAATTAGTAGTTAGGAATCTGTTATGAATGTATTTCGAAAAGGGTCAGTTACAGTTGCGGATTTTGGTTACTATAAATAACTCTCTAATTGGGGAGGAAAGGGGGACTTTTGTTTCTGAGTTCGTAAATTTCCAACATATGCGCGAAACTAATTTTTTAAAAAATTTACAAATGTAACGTGGCAATTTACGTGGAAAATGAGGTGGCCATTGTGTGCTGACATGGCATACAACTGCCACGTCATCATTTAACAAAAAAAACTAACGTCAGGTACTAATTTGAAAAAAAAATATTAGTCAGGTAATTTAAACAAAAAAAATTTAAAAATTAGTAATCTGAAAATCAACCTAATTCAAGATAGTTTAAACATATTTAAGCCAAAATTTTATGTAGAGAAAAATAATTTTACAAGTTTCAAGTCTTAAATCAGTCAAAAATTGATTCAAAATCATGTTGCAAAATAATTATTTTCTAGAACCAAATGCACTCTAGTTCCCTACATGTCAAAATGATCATCCATCCTATTCCTCCCTATTATTTAATATTTATTAAAGATGTAAAGTTAACAGAACAATTAAATGTAAATAAAAGAACTATAGTATTGTATTTCATCTCCAACTATGCAGGTTCTCTGGAACAGGGAGGCTTTAAAGGAGTTCACCCCTTCACGAGGTATTTGTCAGAGAGATCCTCTATCTCCATATATCTTTGTTTTATGTATGGAAAGATTATTCCACTTGATTGAAATTGCTGAAAAACAGAAATTGTGGAAGCCTATTAAGCTCGCAAAAAAAGGTCCTCCTCTCACATATCTTGCTTTTGCTGATGACTTAATTTTCTTTTCGGAGGCTTCTGTAGAGCAGGTAGAGATTATCAAGACATGTTTGGACCTTTTTTGTACAAGCTCGAGAATAAAGGTGAGTCAGGAGAAGACTAAGGTTTGCTTCTCCAAAAATGTGGGTTGGAATGTGAAGACCGAACTCAGTTCCTTGCTAGGTTATCAGCGTACAGACGATCTCGGGAAGTATTTAGGAGTTCAGCTTCATCACAAAAGGGTGAGCAAACGAAGTCTTCAATCGATGATGGACCATATTAACAAACGGCTAAGCAAATGGAAAGCCAACACTCTATCATTTGCAGGACGACTTACCCTCTCAAAATCAGTCCTTGCTACATTACCCACCTATACTATGCAAACAGTTTACTTCCCTAAACAGTGTTGCGATGAACTTGATAGAGCCTGTAGGTCTTTTCTCTGGGGAGACTCGAGTAACCACCGTTGTGTTCATGCTGTTGCATGGGAGACTATTTGCAAACCTAAGGATTCAAGAGGACTTGGTGTCAAAGAAGCTCGTAAGGTAAATACTTGCTATATGATGAAGAATTGCTGGAACATTTGTTCTCAGCCAAATTTGCTTTGGCTCTGTGTAATTAGATCTAAATATGGATGTGGTGATGAAGATATTCCTTTGATTCATAAAAGGGTCGTGGCTTCAAACTTTTGGAGAGGAATATGCGCCGCATGGGTAAAGGTTGAACAATCCCTAGCTTGGAGTTTAGGTGATGGGAAAACAATTAAGTTTTGGGCTTAAACAAAATGTATTTACTACAAGGAATTTATCGTTGTGTATTAATCTTTTTGGAAAGTGGGGTGATCACTTGGGCTTGTGCTCTGATTGAATGATCCCTCCGGAGCCCCTAGCTTGGAGTTTAGGTGATGGGAAAACAATTAAGTTTTGGGCGGATCGGTGGCTTCCATCAAAGGTGGTGCTTATAGATGTGACGACAGGTCCAATTTCCATAGATCTCCTAAAAAAGACGGTAGCTGATTATACTAGGGAGGATGGCTCTTGGAATTTGGAAGGGATTCACGACCTAATCCCCTCGAGCTGTTGGAACGAGTTGAAAGGTACGGCTCCCCCTTCTACAGACAATGATGGAGATTGTTTAGTGTGGGGGGGTTCCAACAATGGTGTTTTCAGTATGAAGTCTGCATATGAAGCCTTAAGGACATCGGCTCCATCAAACCTCAAAAATCTCTTTTCCTTGATATGGAGGTGGCCTGGGCCGGAACATATTCGTTGTTTTTTATGGCGCATAGCTCATAATAGCCTTTGTACCAATGATTGGAGGTTATCACGATCCTTAACATATGATGCAAGTTGTAAAATTTGCCATGCTGATCGAGAGACTTGCATTCATATCCTCCGTGACTGCGATTTCTCTAGAAAGTGTGGTGTTCAATCTTAGGTGCTACACGTGAAGTTAATTTTTTCCTCTCACCTTTGACAGATTGGTTAGCTACTAACTTATCTGATTCTGATGCCATTTGGAACCAAACTTTCGCTTTAACTCTGGATGCGATTTGGAAGGCGCGCAATGGGCGGCTTACTTTCAACAATTATTTGTTATCGTCGAACCAGGTGGTGAATCTTGTCAAGGGGCGTCTAACTAAGCTAAGTAAAGTATCTTGTTATAAACAACATCAATCGATTCTTCAGGATCATTCTCGTACAAATATTAGCTGGAACCCTCCTCCTCCAGACATTCTTAAACTCAATTATGATAGAGCTGTCTCAAATCTCTCCAAGGCTTCATGTGGAGGGGTCTTAGGAGATAGTGATGGAACCTTTATTGTTGCCTTTGCTGGATTGCTTGGTACCTGTACTGTAGTGAAAGCAGAGTTATGGGCTATCTACCATGGCCTAAGACTAATCAAAGACAAATTTATCTCTAGTCACATAATTATTGAATCAGATTCAGCTATTGCTGTAAAATTTCTAAATGAAGGCTGCCCACAAGCACATCCGTGTTATGCCCTAGTCAATCATATTGTGAGGATGTTAGGTGATTTCTACAAGATTGAGTGTATCCATACTCTTCGAGAGGCAAATCAAGTTGCGGATGGGTTTGCCAAAATCGGGTTTTCTATTCCTGAGGGTGTTTTATCTTTTAATGTCCCACCTAGCTAGGCTCATTTCCTTTTGTTGGCTGATAAATCAGCCATTTCCTTTCCTCGTGGTTATTACTTTTTTGTATTTGGGCTTCTAGCCCCCTATTCAATCAAAAAAAAATATTTAATCATGCATAAGATTTAGGAAAGAAAAAAAAATCTAAATATTATATTGCAACACATTGATCTTGTTGCACTCTCATTCTCCCACCTATTTCTCCTTTCTGAGCCAATTTAAAAACTACACTGGAAGTCCTATACCTAAGGGTCAAAATGATGATCCAGTCTTATTTCTCCCCATTATTTATTTAAGATGTAAAGCTAACGGGACCATAGTAGTCAATTCTGGATAGCGGAGCAGAGCGGTCGACCCTAAAAATGGGATTGCGAGATAACACGGAGCGAGATAACCACTATTTTAATATTAATTTATAGATATTAAATAATTAATAATATATATAAGCTATAAAAAAATAACTCTAAATTCATGCATTAAACATTTTTAATAATTAAAAGTTCATAGTACTCAAACAATACATAATATAAATTTAATCAGAA